GATCTCCACTCCAGGGTTGTAATCACAAAGTAGCTCCTGCTTCAGAAACAGTCACACTACTCCCCCAGCAACACTAGCCCTCGAAGCAGCAAAGGATGGGGGACAATGTACAAAAGGAAGAATCCACCCCACAAAGAGGAGAGAAGTTAAGTCTTGGCAACAAAGTTAAGAAGATAAATGCAAGAGATCTGGCATCTGATTTGGACCCCTGGGCCAAGTCTGGGTGGGAGAAGGGCATCAGGCAACAGAGAGCACAAGGCTCCCAAACGCAGCTGAAGAGCATCATCCTCAAAAGGAGAGAGAAAGGCAGGGCAGCTGCCACAGTTGACCATACTCGCCCATCCCTGGGAAAATTCCACCAGGAGGGACATGGCACTGTCCAAAGAGCCTAGTCCTAGCATGTTCTGGAAACACACAGCATGGTGAGGGACTCTCACCCACCTCGATTCCTGTTCTCTGGAATAAAGACAACTCTAGTTACAAAATGAGCTGCCCATTTCTATCCCTTTAACATTAGCTAAAATTATTATAGGTTTTTACTATGTAATACTTCTTAACATACTTTGAACTTTATAATAACTTTAATGCTTTCAAGTTTTGTTTTATAATTGGATCAAATCTTCCCCAAGATACAAAAATCATTCCATATACATTTGTACTTGGTCCATATTCACATGTCACAGTCTCAATAATAGTTGAATTGTGCACTATTTATACCCTATCTTGTTAGGAGGGGCTCCCAAGGCAGCTAACTAGAATACATATGAAGAAATGGAGAAAAATTAAGCAGATTTTAGAAAGCAAGGTCAATTGAAAATAATAAGTGAAATAGATTCACTGCAGTTAGTATCAGCATAGCACTTCGGGATTTATACAGAAACTCACATGGGCTAATCATCTCCCTTCAACTATCACATGACCTTATGTATACAACAGTCCTACACAGATGACACCATACTCACTTTACAGATAAAAACCCTGAGATTTGGAGGATAAAGTATTTTGCTCCCAGTGACATAGCTCAATCACAAGTTAGAAGCAAGCATGGATCTTCCAGTGCTAAACCCCAGGTTCCTTAAAGCACGAAATATTCCTCCAAATCAGCAGACCTGGTGATCACTAGCTGTGATCCAATCAGCTCTAGACCCCAGTTTTGTCTGAACAGGGGTAGACCAGAACTCTTTAGCAACCATTTCGACTCTACTCACTGGTGCTCTGATTATCAACAGTCATTTTGTAATTACTGGATTACATCTACACTGGCTCTTGTATTTTTAAGTTTATTTTTCAGTGGAACTGACTTTTGTGGGCATGACTAAAAAAAACTGTAAGTCAAGTCTGTGGTTTCATTTGGTTATAAGATTGATCCACAAACTCATAAAATGTCAAATTTTGAGGGAACAGGTCATATGGTAGAGTCCCTTCATCCAAACTGTGGGGATCATTTTTATGCTATACACACTCTTGTGAGTGGACTCAAATGTGCTTTAGTTATAATCACATTCACGGAAAATTAGTATGCAGATCTCAAAAGTAACTTCAAAATAGTTACTTTTAATAGTTAAGGAATTCAGCATATTTTAAATACTGACATCCAAGACTGCATATTTTAGAAAAGTATAAGGGCTCTATCCTCAACTTCTGTGTCGTAATCATCCATCAGCCCTATTCTAAAAATTTCTACATACTTCCGACCTCCACAAGTGAAGAAAATATCTCCAATGGAAAATAAAAGGTAGCAATTCCAGGGGCCGGGGGTGTGGTTCAGTGGTAGAGCGCTTGCCTAGCATGCATGAGGCATTGGGTTCAATCTCCGGCACCACATAAATAAATACATACATACATAAATAAAAAATAAACAAACCAACAAACAAAAGGTAGCAATTCCAAGCCCTAAAGAACTAGAAAGGGCCTCAATATTCGTACTAAATCCATCCCACAGTTAAGGTTCACCTGAGGAGACATTCTGCACGTTCCCTGGAGGTCTGAGTTTCCAGAGGGCAGCTGGGAGGCAGTCATGTAGACCTGAGTTTGTTGCAGACCCAGTGATGACCAGATAGTGCTGACATACTTTGGAGCCAGACAGGCCCAGATTCAAACCCGGATTCTTCCAATTAGTCCCTGTGTGACTCAGGTAAGTCCGTCCTGAGTTTCAATGTCCTCACCTGCTCAATAAACGATGGTTCTCAATAAACTGATGCTATTATTAACTAAGAACGTGTAACAACCACAGTAGGACAGCAATCACAGCAGGACAGAAGAATCTACTGCTGAAAAATAACTTGTTATATGAGAAACAATCAATGACTGTGACTGGCTAGGAACTAAGAAAACTTAAACCTGGTTCTCTGGGAAAACAAACTATTCCTTAAATGGTGCCTCAGTGTCTGTCCTGGAACTCTAACCCGCGGTGCCTCTCTCCAGCCCTGTTAAGTTCTACGGGAATCACTAAGTATCAAAACTGCACATCCCCCACAGGACAAAGAAGGTTTAGCGGAGCTTCTTCCTCCCACTCTGGCTGGCAGGTACACACTGAGTCAAATCTGTCTCTCAGCAAACCATGCCCCCAGGGATCTCTCCCTGGGCATGGCAACAGGCATGGCTGGCTCTCCAGAGAACAGGTCTCTTCACACTGTCCCGGGATTGTGGACCTTGGTGTGAGGGACCTCACCTCCAAGACAATCCAAGACCTCAGTTACACTTTTTCTCAGACTTTCTGGGAAGATTAAGAATATACATCCCTGTGTCATGCAACATCTGCCATCTGAAAGGTTTGACAACAAGGAAAAGACCCTTAGTTTAGGAGATTTCTGACTTTAAAGATCTTTAGAGTTGATCTTGAGAAGGCTCTTTCTTTAAAAAAAAAAATTCTTCATTATCTTTTATCATTCAAGCCAACAGGTTCACAAACAGGTTCAAACAGACCCTCCCACCTACTTCATCCTCAAATCCAGGAAGCATCCAGAAAAACCAGGATATTCTGATAGCAGCTCCTCATCCCTGGGATCAGCAGGATGAGGTGGGTTTTGTTTTGTTTTTTAATCCTTAATACGCTCCTTTCTCCCTCAAGGAAGAGAGTCTCCAAAAGAAATCAACCCCAAATCTGCCCCAAATCATAAAATTTCAACTGCATTTTGACAGGCTTGGAGAGGTCCAGTTTGAAGTTCTATAAATCATCTTATTTCCTTTATGCTCATATTACCTCTCAAATCTAGTAGCAATGTGCTTTAAGTCCCCTTCAAAAAAGTAAGGTTCCAAAAGTGAAATGTATGAAAAACTTTTGAAAATTTGTAGCTCAGGGGATTAAAGCTGACATTTTAAAAGCTAACACTTTAATTGCCCAAGAAGTTAGATCCCTGAAGGTAGCAAGAGAATCCAAGTGGGGTGACTTGAATATTACAACTTCCCCCACACCTTAAAAAAAAAAAAGGCAAAACCAAGCACAATAGTACACACTGATAATCCCAGCAAGGCAGAAGGATCACAAGTTCCTGACCAGCCTCAGCAATTTAGCAGATACTATCTCAAAAAATAAAAAGATCAGGGAATGTGGATCAGTGGTAAAGCGCCTCTAGGATCAATTCCCAGAAGCCCCCACAGGCACCAAAAAAAAAAAAAAGGCAGAGGCAAAATGAAATAGAATTGCTCAAGGGAAAATTTCAATTCATATATTTTGGAGGGAGCTGAGAAAGGTTATGAAAGACTCCTAAAACAAGCTGAACTCATAGAAGCAAAAAGTAAAACAGTGGTTGCCTGGGAGTGGGAGAAATGGGGAGATGCTGGTCAAGGCTCACTTCAGTTACAAGATGAAAAAGTTCTGGAAATCTAATACATAGCATGGTAACTATCAATAATGCTGTGTGCTTGAAAAATGTCAAAGGACCAGATGTTAAATGTTTTTACCCGCCCCCAACGCATACACACAAAAAAATCAGCCTGACTATGATAGTCACCGTACAATCAGAACACCTCAAATCATCACATAAACAACTTAAATATACACAAGTTTGTCAAACACACCTCAATAAATCTGGGAAATAAAAAAAGAAAAGAAAGGAAAGTCAAAAACTTGCACTAACTCCCAAACATGTATGTTGCAGCATTTTGTCAGAGTCAAACCCCAGCTTAGCTCGAGCACAGTAAATGCATCTAAAATGAGAACAGGGCTCACAGAATCCTAACTTCTCTTGGATGGAGGAGTCTTGGTGGTGCAGTCTAACCTCTTCTGTGCATACGTTCCTAGGACACATGCATACACTGTCTTCTAGCCTCTCAGTGCTTTCAGCACCGTGAACCTGCTAATACACTGGCATGGTGGAAAGGGTTACACGAGGAAGCAGAACAGCTCTGGATAAGCTCTTTCCATGGTAAAACAAAATGCTGTGTTTTACTCTAAATACTAAAAAGTTCTTGATAAGTATGTATTATTAAAATACTGTGCTAAGAATATGAAAGACTGACCTCCATTCCTAGCAAAAAATGTACCCAAGTTGGCCCAGCATAACAGCTACCTAATTGCTTTTTTTACCTTTCTTCCATGTAATCATACAAATTATAACACTCTTCCTTCCCAGGGTGCAAACTCATCAGAAAAATTACTGCCACCCACAAGGTTGTACCTCGCATTTTCTAAAATGCACCATGGTGGACATGGCCGCAGGAGGCGGGGCTTCATCCTGTAAGCTATGTGTGCAACTAATGAGGGCCTACTAGGAATATGGGCAAAGTAAAAATTTTAAAATAAACCCAAACATATGCATATTTCTTTGTAATTCCTTGCAGCTAACCGCCAATATTAAATGGCAGTATTGGCAGAGTGAAAAATTCTGTATATGTTTTGCATATCGTGTCAGCCTACACTATGTGCTAAACTGGTATAACCATGTACAGGCACATGGTGCGTTTCTGTGTGCATGTATACATTTAAGTCCCTGTGTGTTATGTGCACGTTGTGCTTGTGTATTTTTCACATACAGTTGACTCCCTGGGTAACATCATACCTGCCACTGGTTTCCTGTTTGACCAGACACATAAGGCGCTGGAAGGCTCCGAAGGCTGTTCTTCACAGGGGATCCCCCGAGGGGACCTCCCACATCCCCAGAAGAGGCATCAGCAGCCAAGGCCATGGAGTACTGCGGATAGTTGTACAGATTGTTGTAGTAAGGGAACAGAGAAGGCTGGTAAAAGCTGCTGTAGTAGGTGGAGTCTGAAACCAGGTCAGGTGCGTTCTCCACGTGCCCTCTGCTGGTGACAGCAGGAATGTCCTGGATGACCATGCGTCCCTCTGAAGAGAAAAAGAAACACTGTTCATGTGGGGGTTCATGAAACATGAAATTTTCCCTTTAAACCCTGGAAATGAATCACCTCCCTCTGCCAGGTTCTGTAGAGCAAATAACATGGATCTGCTGGGACGTAGCCATCTGCCACATCTGTGGCCAAAACAGAGGGGGTTTCTAATCTGACATTTGGTGGCACAGCTCAAACACCATTGCTGAATATTTTTACTGAGAACACCAAAGTATTTTAGAGGCTATTTTAATTACATAAAGCCTGACAGTGTAAAACATATTCCCAAATTCCCACCCTAATGTCAAAAAACAGAGATCAAATCCAATTAACCTGTCTGGAAATTTTTACCACAAAATTAATTGCAGTTTACTTTAGATAAAGTACAAAACCACCCCAGAACCCTAATTATGGCGTCCACACAGACATGTCAGAAAGCCAAAGCAAGAGGCTAAGAGTTTAATCACAGTTTCCTAACATCCTTCTGCAGCTGGCACTGTATGCTTTGGCAGTCTGGACAACAATATGGAACCTGAGTAGACAAACTTCTGAAAAAAGTCAGAGGGCTGGGGTTGTAGCTCAGTGGTAGAGTGCTTGCCTAGCATGCATGAGGCACTGAGTTTGATCCTCATCACCACATAAAGATAAACAAATAAAATAAAGGCATTCTGTCCATCTACAACTACAAAAAAATTTTTTAAAAAAAGAAAGAAAATTCAGTTAGAAACTATGTGAGGCTTTGCCAACCACAGTCAATGTTTCAGAGTGTTTATGTTGCAATAAGACTTTATTCACAAATGGGAAGAGGACCAATTTGGTCAAAGACTGGTTTCCCAAGTGCTGGCATAGGCTTTAACTGTTGTCAAAATAAATGACTGATGAACTCTTTAGTTACCCATCCAGTGGACATTTACCAAACAATGCTCATAAGAGATGAGCCAGGTGCCTGAAATGGCTGCAAGGTGTCTGGCTGTCCTGCCCAGAGGAGGCCTACACTCTAGGATGAAAGAGACATTGGGATTACAAAACACACCACAACCTGGTATCACAGGAATGCCCATAAACAGTTAGGTAAGTCAGAGAAGAAAAAATGACTCGCAGCCTAGCAAGGAATCAGGGACTTTCATGGAAAAGACTGGATCTGAGATGCTCCTGAAAAAGGAGGAGGCCTGGGGTATGGCTCAGGGCACTATACTTGTCTAGCATTCGCCAGGCCCAGGGTTTGTTCCCCAGCATAAAAGAAAAATATATATAAATAAAATAAAGGAGCAGGATACAGGTGGAAAACGAGGAGAGGAGAGGAGAATAAGGAGAAAAGGGAAGCAAGGACAGAGGAATAGAGGCAGTAGAGGGCAGAAGAGTGAGGTGAAGAACTGGCTGAAAACGGAGACAGAGATACACTGAAAGATGGGCTGGAGCCAGGCGAGGGGAGCCTTTGCCCAGCACTCTGGACTCCCTTTGGGAAGCAGCAGGAACCACTAAGGATTCCTCAGCAAGGAGGTTACACAAGCAGAGCTGTGCACTGGGAAATTTACCCAGTGGAAATTCTCAAGATGAATGAAGGAGAGTGAGCCCTGAAGCAGAGATACCCACTAAGGAGCCACCGACATCATTCAGGGAGAGACCTCAGAGGACTGGCAATGTAAGAAGGGGGCCTTGTCCAACAGAACTAGAAGGCTGATGGATGCCAAGAATGAATTAGACTCAGCAGGAGAAAGAGAGCTGGAGCCTGGGTGTGGCAGGAGACGAAGGAGGGATGTTCTGCTAAACCTAGACCCAGGAGGGCTGAGCAAGCATGAGGAACTGAAACCTGTGCTCTTGGGAGATGCTGAGATCCAATGGCTGTGTATGGGGTCGGGGTGGGCAGCCAAAACCAATTCATAGAGGAGGGAGATGCAATGTCACAAAAGGCAAAAGTGAAAATGGAGAGCAGAGAGGCGTAGGCTGCAGTGTCAATTGCTGCTATGAGATCAAGCAAAATCCACTCTGGAAAAGATCCACGGATGACTAGGTCATTTTAATGTGGTCCAAGAGCCACGGAGCAGAAGGTATCCTGCAAGACAGCTGACAGCAAGTGAAGGAGATAGAAACAGATGAAGGCAGTGAATGGCCTTCTCTGCCACCAGAAGGTAAAATCAAGCAAGATCAGAAGGTGGGATCAATCTCCACCCCACCTCTATGTTCCCCCACTGTCCCATGTGCCTAGGACATTGTCAGACAGAGTGGCAAGCATTTGCCAAGGGGAATCAATGAATAATGGTTTTTCAAGTAACTTGTCATCAAAAAACAATTGTAAATTAAAAAATAGAAGCTCCAGGAGTCATAAGATCTGTTTCATTTTTTAAACTCAGAGAAGGTTTAAGAGTCCCTAGGCGGGAGAGGAAGCTTGTGGAAAGAAAACCTCAGCATTGTGTGTGGCTCAAAGAAAGCACTCAGAAAGTGTCTGCTGCCTGATTGTGTGGAAGGAAAAAGAGAAGAGATGTAAGGGAGCATGTAACTCAAAAAGTGCAAGCTCTGGAAGGTTTTGGTTAGATCTACAACAAAACTCTCATTCGGCCTCACTTTATAGTCAGCACTAGAGTCTCTTTTGTCTAAATGAATAGCAAATCATCCTACATTATACTCCATGATTACATTACCAAGGAACCGTGATTTTTTTTCCCTTTCCTTTCTTCTCTTCTCTTCCTTGCTAGTGAGACGAGCCATTCCAATCTCATTATTCCACACCCCAACTCTGAATCCAGAGAGGGCACATGTCCATTCCTTTCTGAGCTTCCTCATTGGACCTTTCTCTTATTTAAAGCACCAAATTTGGTGACATAAATGGTGGTTTTCAGTATCTAATTCTTTTGTTTTCAATGTCATATCTTTTATCATTTACCTGACAACAAAAGCAATCTGAACTTCCCCCAAACGATAAATGTCGTCCATCTTAAATCAGAAGAATGGATGTCCTACTCCCCCTGCCAGTCATAACCATTGGTGGTTCATTCCTGTACAACCTTACAGACACTTAGGAGGGCATGCTAGAAACTTATTTCTGTCCCTGCAGTAGAAAAAGCAATCCCTTGGGGCCTGCCCTTCAAAAGCAATGTTCTTCATAAAGAAAACAAAACACAGCAGTCAAAGAATGAAATAGAAACCCAAGGACTCCAGCCTTCTGAGATCTTCCCAGAGCAGAGGCTCCTGAATTTCTGCAGCATAACCCTGACCAGAACCTTTCATCAGGCCTCAGTTTATCAAGCAACAAATTGATGGCAGTAATAACTCTCAAGGTAACAAGAAAATGGCTTCCATAAACTGCACAGTAAACCTCAAATAAAATGTCAGGTCAAAGCAATGATTTGTCTTGCTATGGCTGCCTGTAATTAATTAACAAACCCATCACTTCTCCACTTATCCACTTTCTCTTCTCTTTCAAGTTATACTAAGCTTTAAGAATAAACTGAGATATAGTGAGGAAATTTCAATTGCATACCACTACTTAGATAATAAAACCATTTGAACTTTCTAAGAGTATATGCCTACAAAAATTTTACAGTCTTTAAATGGTTAAGCACTTTTGTTTTAGTCAGTTTTTTGCCACTCTGACCAAAAGACCTGACAAGAGCAATTTTAGAGGAAAGTTTATTTAGTCTCATGGTTTCAGAGATCTCAGTCCACAGATGGCTAGCTTCATTGCTCTGAGCCCAAGATGAGGCATAATATCATGGCAGAAGGTTGTGGTGGAAGAAATCAGCTCAGGACGTGGCCACCAGGAAGCAAAGAAAGACTGCTCCATCACAGGGACAAAATAAAAACCCCAAGGCACACACGCAGTGACCCCCTTCCTCCAGCCAAACCTTACCTGCCTGCCTACAGTTACCACCCAGTTAACCTCTATCAGGAAATTAATCCACTGTTTTGGTTAAGGCTCTCATAACCCAATCATTTCACCTCTAAACTTTCTTGCATTGAATCACGCATGAGCTTCTAGGGGATATCTCATACTTAAACCATAACAATGAGTTTTGTGGGGCATTTGTTGTTTTCAGATTTTTTAGTCTGTTTATTTTGGGGGACTGGAGGTTGGGGATTGAACCCAGAGGCACTTTACCACTGAGCTACATCTCCCTTTCTATTTTATTTTGTCAAACCAGGGCTTCCAAAACTGGCCTTGAACTTGGAATCCTCCTGCCTCAGTCTTCCAAGGAGCTGGGATTGTAGGCATGTGCCACCACTCCTAACAACAAGTGAGTTTTTTTAAGCAATATTTATAATTCATAGACTCTGTTGTTCTTCTGTTGTTGTTTTGTTTTTTGGTGGAACTGGGGATCAAACCCAGAACCTCATTCATGTTAAACAAGTGCTCTACCACCCAGCCACACTCCCAAACCTACAACTCTGTATTTTCAGGTTGCAAATTAAAACTCTGGGTCAATATTGAGCACAGCCTTAAGACTCCCATCTTCTATGTGCATGTTATTATTGGTACATGAAATTTTCTGTGGTTGAAATCAACATCCCAACTGTGTGTCTATCTCACCAATTAGTAAAGTGTCATCCCTGAATCAGCAGCATCAGCATCACCTGGGAATTCTAGAAATGCAAACTCTAGAGCATCATCCAGACCTACTGAGTCAGACACTAAGACAGTGGGCCCAGTGATACAGGCTTTAACAAGATCTCAGAAGATGCTGACCCATCTGAAAACCACTGGTCTACTCTAAAGACTCAAAGCAACTGCTCCATGTCTTATTCCTAAATATAAGTGACAAGTCCTAACATTACTATAAGTCCTGACTATCAAATAAGAGCACACAAGTAAATTCCATTGTATAAAGTTGGGCTTTTACCTATGTCACCAAATTATGGCAGAGCTCAGACCACAAGCTGTACAGCTATGTGTATGCTGCTGCCAAAAGTTTGGTTTCAATGTTGTATATCCAGGTATTCTTAACTTACTCTAACCACAAAAACTCAATTCACCTCTTAAAGCACTTACTCCATTTGACAAAT